AAAATGATGAAAATGTCACTAAATGGGTAATTAAATCGAACCTAGCAAACCTCTTCCTATAGTACTTCATCTAATGAATGAACTTCCGGTAAAAGAAACCTGTTTTCAGCAACTGCCAAAAAGTAATTTGACGTCAAAGTCGTCGTAAAGAAATGTGCCAGAGCTACTGTCAGTGGCTCACCGCCACAGCAGATCCGACCGCGAGCCCCTGGGAGTGGCTTGCCGGAGATAGAATAGGCAATATATCCTGACACAAAACAATTTTGATTGCTTTCATTCTTCAGATGCTAAAAACCATAAGCCTATGGTCAGGAAGCTGTTAGAATGTATTAGGCCCAGGAAGCAAAATTTAAGAAGAGAAAGACAAAAAAAACTGTTACATTTTTTTCACAATTATACTTGCTTTAAGAATTCTTCCTCTCCTTTTTTAACACTTAGTATTTATATATTTCAATAAAATATTCCTTGAGCACATGCAACCACTCCACAGGTTAAAAAAGCTGGCCAACGATATCAAATTGTCTTAACTCTTTATCTCTGGCAAGCCGCTCCCAATGGCTCACTGTCAGAACCCCTGTGTTTTTCATCAGGATTTCATTAAATAGAAGAAGAATTTTAAAAATAGATTCATTTGTTTTGATTTAATGACCAATTTAGTAACGATTTCGTCATTATTAGATTTAGTACCAAAAACGGGCCCGGCACAGTGGGTGTACCCCCCTCGGAGATAAAGAGTTAAGGTGTGACAAAGTGAACTTTCCATCTTTTCAGCCAGCAGATGGAAAGAGTAAAAAGGTATGAAAATCTAGATTCCAGGAATCCCCATGAACATGAACCTCAACATAGACTCATGATACTGAATGACATTAGAATTAGGAGCATACTCTCTGTCTTTCTCTTTAAGTACAACATAGAGAATAGAACATACTCATGACAGTAATTAAGCCTACAGAATATACGGAACCAGAAAAAAACCCATTGAACAACATAGTAAATCTGCAGTATGTAAAAAAATAGAGAGAAAATTCAGCCAAACTAGTTGTTGTGGACACTTGGCCACTTTTCACCACAAGTATCGAGATTTACTTGGGGCTTGCGGTTCCCATGCGGAGGAGCACGGGGATCTCGCGTTGTGGTAGTTCACGGGAAGTATATATATAATCGGTCACTCACAGCCTTTGGTGGGACAGTTGGATGATAGAGACAGGAAGGGACAGAGCCAAGGTCCACACACTTTGCAGGAAATCTACTATGCACTACACTTGCAGAAATAACATCTCAAGGACTTACGGTGAGAGTTACGCATTTGTTATTTCGAATTGTTGTTTAAAATGTGGTAGTGCTGTGTTCCGCAACACTAGTCTGTAGATATGACCGCCACAGATTTTGCGTCCATATGTCATAAAAACAAATTTTTAACAATCTGAGTTTGTGTATGTGATCAAAGTACAATTTTCAGACTTTAAATAACATTTATTTAATAACATTAAGTGGATTTTCCATTGGAAAAATTCAACATTAGTGTGATCAACAAATCATTGATTTTAAACTAGGAGAAAGATGAATGAAGTTATTCTCAAGGAGAAAAAAACAAAAAGGGTTAAAAAATAACAAACACCAAAAGAACTGCAGTAAAGGGAGAATGCCATATAAAATAAAGGCTAGGGAATAAGAAAACAAAAAAAAACATGTATAAAGAACGGCAAACAAAACAATAAATTAGCATTTACAAAACAAATGATAAATATAAGAGTGATGCATAAAAATGATACTAAGCAGAAGATACTATCATAACACCTGATCTTTTGCCTACCAACACAGAACTCGTCTAAGTAGTCAACAAAACAAAAAAATCCCAACAAGCTGGGATAATAATAAATAATAATAATAATAATAAATAGCATTTGTATAGCGCATATCCCCGCTCAACAGCAGGCTCTATGCGCTTTACACTATATTATTACCCCAGCAGACCATAGAACACTCCGAAACATTCTCAGCTTCCCGGGAAGCATACAGTGCAAGCAGCTGATTAAGCGCTCAAACACTAACAAACTGACAAGATCTTTCGCTGTCTATAGCCGGGTACATGTACCCATTCCCACCTGGGTGAAGTGAGGTAAATTCGTGTAAAGTGCCTTTCCCAAGGACAAAACGTCGGGCCCCAGACGGGATTCGAACCCGCGACCTTACGGTTGCGAGTCCAAGAGCCTAACCACTAGGCCACCGACGCCACCAGATGAATAAATAATAAAGCGAAGATTGTAAATAAATTAAACATAATAAAATTACCCATCAAGAAAGCTCTCAGTCTATGTCATCGCCAAGCTTCCTGCAGGAACTAAAGCCAACAACTGTCAGATCCATTCCTCTTCTAGACAATTTAAGAATAATGTTTCAACCTGCAGCTAACAGAGTTGAAAGCACAACATTCATTTGCCAATCTGATGAATTTATTTGATGAAACAAATCAACAAAAGAATTTGTTTCTCATTCCAGAGTAAACCCAAGGCCAATACGTACTATCCAGATTTCATGCTGAAAGAAAGTTTTTTCAGGTATGGTAGTATCAAATTCTAGGGACCCTTGACAAATAAAATCATGCATATCAACAACATGAGCATTTGTCAATAAAAAGTTTCTTTAAAAAATTGTACATATGTAGTATCACAGTCAAATGAATCTTTTTTCTCAATCACTATCTTCAATTTACACAAAGTGAGCAAATGTTTAGGCAACTAGATCTGCTACAACAAAATATGAAGGTCAGTAGATTTACGTAGTAAGATCTTTTTTACTTGTCCACACACAAAAAAGACAAAGCCCCAAAAAAGTATAGTCTTTGTAACAATATGTTGATAAAATACGAAAAAAGCACAAATAAAACGTCAAAAAAAGGAAGATACCCCCCCCCCTCCCCCCAAAACAAATTTAAAAAATGTACTGTATTAAATAAATAATAAAAACAAATGTAAAGAAGGAATTGATAACGCTATCTGTGAAATTGATCACACCAGATAAAAATATCTCTATCAAAGGGAGAAGCTTTTTACAAACATTTAAGCCAATACAACCTAAAGCTCAAATGACCTTATGCAGTTGTGAGCGTCGTTAAACTCTTACTAAAATAAACAAAGCAGATGTATACCTTATTCCATAACTATCTTTCTCACATGACTCGGACTCATACACCCACCCGTAATGAATGAACTAGAGGCGGATGTTATATTTCCATTGTTACCACATTAAGTTATGTCATTTTTTCTTGATAACATACTATGGTTTACATAAAGCACAATCAAGTAACAAGTCAATGATCTGTCAAAAAAGACATGAATACATCTGAAGAAAATAGTGTACATATCATTCTTCAGTCTGTCTCTTACCCACACAACACATACACTGTGGTAATGGTCTCTCTCCTTACCAATACCATTTTGCTGCCTTCTTTCTAAATTTTGGTGGTTGAACCGGTGCTCTTGTCACATTTTTTATCAACAGTGTGATCATACACGTAACACATTATTTTTACACTTGCTTCTCTTCAACCACCTCAATGGCTACAACTATAGTTCTCTAAAAATCAAAATTATCCCACATGGACCAAGGGATATAAATAGTCTGCTGTCCGACCAAAGTGGGATACTACTCCCCCATTGGTGGGGTGCTACTGATAGTGATACAATCAAACCTCTCAGACCTACACGAGGAATCTTTTTCCTCGTACATTATGTCTACTGTCCAGCTTTCCTTTGCATCAATTGCTGTGAGTTTGGTCTAACAAACAAAAAACCTTCAACATGTACAGGATCCAGCTTTGAAATGACTCTGTGGTATTCAGTACTGCATTTAAATTCACAGCAAAAAATAATTAAAAAAAACAAAGCAATGTAATAATTTGGCACACACATGAACGAATTGTCTTGCAAGTGCTGTAAAACTCTCGTTAAAAAAAGTATTGTAATACAGCAAAAAGACTGACTTTACAAACAATAAATAAGATCATGAAAAAATCACAGAACATTCAATTGCTGAAATTGAAGGACTAAAATTAGTATACTCCAACTATTATTTATGACATTTCCAGTAAAAGACTCTTCCTCATAATTTGAGTATTAGTCTCATTGTACAACAGTGATGTGGGCTTCAGTGTCAATGTTGTTATGCAGGGAAACGTTTTTTTTCTCAAAATATAACACAAGCAAATTCTCATCAATGATTATCTTCATATTTTCACTTATTTTGAATGAACAAAAATAAGTGAGACATACAAAGATGCATGTGTGTGAAAAACAATGGAAATGGGTAAGTCTTTTTCCTGGATTAAGAGTTGATAGCCCAGTAAAAAAGCATTACAATAACCATCATTAACTCATAACAAATTTGACTTCAGTCTACAGTTCAAGCATTATGCTGGGAAAAAAAGATTAGATTGGAGCAAAGATCCAACCAAAAACCTTGCAATACAGTCAAATAAATACAGTTACATGTACCATAACAAGATTCACATGCTTACTACCAGACAAATACTACTTAATTGAGTACAAGGCATATATTGATTCTTATTGAAGAATGAGCACTAAAGACCTCATCAGGAAATCAGATTGAAAAGGATTCAGTAGTGAGTAATAAAGTTGTTTATCCTGTAATATCAAAGTTTAGAGCCTAGGGTAATGACATAATCATGCAGATCAACTTACCAAAACAAGAAGCATATGAACAAACTTCACACAACACAACACCTGATTTTGGTTTCAGAACTCCATCATTTTCAGCAAGACATAGCTTGAGTGTCTCTCCTTAACCCTTTGAGCTCTAGCCACCGGTACACTAGTGACTCTTAACATTGCTTGTACGTCTAGCCACCGGTACAACGGTGAGCAAGAGCCTATCCCCAACCTGGCTCATCTGGGACATAATTTATCTGTCCCGTAGTTTTATGCACCCCACATAATTTAGCAAAATTTGATAATTTTTTGAATTAACAGAATTGCATAATTTCACATTTTTGGGCTCAGTTTGCATAATTTCAGAATTCTTTTTGGATAAAACCACGGGGACATCATAATGCGCACAAAAAACAGACATAATTGATTATTTGGAAAATCTTTGTGAATTAGAGATGCTTGTGAAGACGAGGACTACCCTGAGAGGAACATGGAATGTTATTCTGACGATGATGTAAATCTGAGAGTAAAAAAGACATGAATTGTTGAGGAGCTCAGGCAGAGGGGCACGGTAGCCTCAGGACGTCAGGGCTAAAAGGGTTAAAGAGAAATGGACCCCTCCTTTTCATAGCTGCACAATAAACAAAGGTCTCCTCACTTACAAAGAAAGAGTATACATTTCTTTTAATCACAGCATAATTTGTATACAGACTCCGAGAAACAAACATAGCCATAATATAATAAATGTTTGAGAAATTAAAAAGCCTTTTTAAAAATTCTTAAAAAGAAGAACAATAACTATACAGAAGGAATTTCTCTAAGTTTTACAACAATAATACAGAAAACGGTAGATCGTTTTAAAACAAAGGCACTCCTCAATTGTAAGACATACAACAGAAACAAAAGTCACATTAACAGGATGCCGAACCAAATATCACAGAAAATAAATGAAAGCAAAAAGCCCTTTTTTTCTCTTGACTCATTCCTGGCTATGGTGTCCTGACAGAGTGGCTCTCAGCACTCGAAGTCACTGCAACAAATCAGAGGAATCACCAGTAGCGTCATAAATTCAGTTATGACTTTTTAAATTGAAACTTCTTCCAAAGGACCAAAACAAAAGTTGTACATGTGGAGTCTTATTGGACTTTGCCGTATTCTTGTATATATATACTATATTAGCAGAGTTATCCGCCTCTTTTTGAGTACTGTTTCATTTTAACAACATCCATCCACTTAGCCTGTATCTTTGGTCTTGTAAGCCTATAGACACAGCCCATCAGTAAAGATTGAAATGACCATTATGACGTCAAAGCCTTTCATTTTGACACTAGCTTTTCCAACGCCACAAAATGCAACACATTTTTTAACAGTTTGTCTTTCACTTGCAACAGAAACACATTGATTATCAGAATGGTTACAGAGCCCAGTCTAACAATAATATAGTCATAGGTATGTTGGTGACACAGCATTTAGGAGGGTGATCACAGGGGGGGTGTTCTTGAGCAAAACATTCTTGAGCAAGACACAATGACTCTAGCTCAAAATCAGTGTCCTGTACAATGAGGACCAGCAATGGCCAGTTGATTGACAGTACTAAAATCTGAATTTCATTTTTCTTGGTATTAAAACTCCTTACACATCAAAAGAGAATTAATGAAAAGCTCAACCTGCTACAGCACAGTAGTGAATAGAAAGGCACGAGACCATTTCTGAAGGGACAGTACACCATAAAGTGAACAGTTTAGCACACATTTTACACTTCACATCAGTGCACATGCTCTACTCTTGGTATTTGATCTAGTCAGTGTCGGTCGCTTTTGAAGATGTCTGGACGATGGACGTTGGTCAGTCTCCCTGTCTGTTGCCTCCACCCCAGCAGATGAGTCATTGATTGCAGCAGACGTCAAACTTGACTGCGATCTCTGGTCCATCTCTGAAGATGGTGGGCTCGGCCCAGACATGTCAGGAGCCCCTGATGATGGAGCTTTGAGCTTCGGTGCTTTTTCTGAAAGTGTCACAGAAAAATATATCACCCTGATCAGTTTTGGCAAGCATTACTTTCTCGATACTTTGTTTGTTTGAGTAAAGAGAAGCACATCGACACAATAGTGGCCATTTAGTGATAAAAAAAGTAAGACAGACAGACAGACACACTAAAACATCAGAGGGAAAGTAAAAAAGAAGGACCTACCAGTGACGCCCTCCGCCCTCCAACCACCCGCTTTCTTGATACAATTTCTGAAAAGTTGTTTACCTAAAATCAAACAATCAAACAAACCTCCAACCAACATATATAGACATTAAAAAAAGACACAAACAAGCAAAGTTAAAAATATCTTAAGGGTGTGAACCATAAAATGAGTAATGAAAACATTCTCAGTAAACTTATAGATGGAAACAGAAAAAGAACATGGCAAAAAAGTAACAAATAAAAAGAAAAAAGTAGGACGGCAAAAAGGAGGAGGAGGAAACAGGAAGAGGGGGGAAAGAGGAGGGAGAAGACTAGGAAGGAGAAAGAGGAAGAGGAAGAAAACATAATTGAAAAAATTTAATTGGATTATAATCAGGAAGATCTCAGCTTTCAGAAAAGCTAAAGAAACACTCAAAATGGCCCAGAGGCGGCATATTCCGGATTTCCTCAGACTGACTCACATTATACGGTACTTACTCTTCTTGGATGTCTCTGTTTTCATGGCCAGTTCCGCATCCCTCAGCTGTTGGGGTAGGAAATCCAGGTTGACATCTCTCAGGGCCTGAAGCATGTAGTCCACCCCGAGAGCCTCAGACACATGGTGGACTGTGGCCAGCGACTCGCTGGTCAAGATGGTCACTCGAGTGCCCTGGCAATGTTCCTTACACAGCCACATGTTCTTGCCGCTCGGCATCAGACACCTGAGGGGGGGGTGGGGGAATAAGGAAACCAGAAGTGTCACAATGCGGTGGAATCAAACTCGTCAATTTTTGGGCATATGGAGCTATTGGTATCGTCTTAAAGGAAGAACGGAGCACCCCGTCTTCCTGAGACCTCTGTTCTACTTTCAAATAATTCAGGTAAGTAAGTGGTATCGTCTTAAAGCTTGTTCATTTTTCCTGCTTGTGGTGAAAAATCACCTATCTAACAGTTGAGAAATTTTCAATTAAATGAGGTGGGGGTCGCATGGTTTCCGAGTTAACATAAGGAAGAAAACGGCCACTAAAGTTAAGTTAAGTGACTTCCAAATTTTGAGAGTGCTTGGAAACTGCAAAATTAAATTATTTGTACCTTTAATCAGTATTTTCATAAAAATCCACACAAGAAGTTGCTTTAAATGAACATAATACATGTTGAGCCAAAAAACAAAAATTCGATAAAAAATTGCCAAACCGGAACCCCC